TTATATATTTATATAGGTACCTTTAAATTTATTCAGTTTTCTCACAAACGCTAATTTGGCCTTTGGTGGTGATAGTTCATTTCATATTTGTAGTTTCTACTGCTAGTACTAAGTGGGCCTGCTCTATTTTTCTCACTGTTTGTTATATGTAGCAGGCAAAATTACAAGCTAATAGTGAGATGAGTGGCTTATAATGTATGATAATCAATATTTGAAATCCATTTCCCACAGCGTGATGCAAAAAAAGTGAAGTGAAAGGTGCAGATTTTCAAAACTAGAATACAGAAGCTCGTGAACCTGCCATGAATAGGTGGTTTTTACTTCAAGGTCAATCAGGATATTTTTCTTCACAAAACTACCTTCTTTTTTTGGCTTCATATTTAATTCTCTCACTGCTAAGGTGCCTGAGGATCGGAAATGGAAAGTTAGTCAATACTATGAGTATGAATGTAATCCTGCTGTAGCAAATGCAGGAAGTGAGAAGGGAAAAGATGTGACATGCAATATACATGATATATATGCTGTATGTTATATATCTCTGCTACTTAAAGAGATTGCCAGTAAAATTTGTATTTTTACTGATGCCAATGAATACTGCAAATACTGTAAGTTATCCTCATATTCAGTGTATGTGTGCACACATGAAGTAATAAATTCAAATCATAGAATGTAACTCAGTGACAAAATTAAACAAATCAGTTTTGAAAACCTCAAAGCATAGTTTTTGGCACACTACTAAGTACCTAGTGTAGTTAATGCATTTCCAGTGGCTGAGAACTTCTCTGATCTCCATCTTTCATCTCAGGTTTTCTCATTTCAGTCTCAGTTTGGGGAATAATTTTATTAGCACAATACAGCCAGGTTTTAAAATGAGACTGGAAAAATGAATCTCTTATTACATAAGTTGTTCAGCTCTGCATTTTATATGTATATAGGTTGCTTTGAAAGTAATGCCTCCTATTTATTTCCATGGAAACTACAACAGATATGAAGAATACAATAACACTGTTTGAAAGAGCAAACCTGAAGCTGCAAAACACTATTTTTCAATGCAGACACTACCATTAGCTATGCATTTTCACCAGTGATGAACAAGAGACTGAATGCCATGATCATAAAAATATGTACGACCATCCGGAATCTGGTTTGTCTTCCGTGTCACTGTCACCTCTGCTGGAATGTACCACCTACCATCTCACTGTGCTTATACTCGCTCCTTGATCTCTGTAACCATTCAGCAAACGTTGATGATATCAATTGGAGTAACTTTTTCTGCATGTAGTTCAATAACATCCCTTCGTTTCATATGCACATTCATGTCAGACATCATTTTGTCAGAGTGCCTCTCTGCTGCCATCTGTCACACAGCAACAAAATGCAACGAAATAGTGGCAGGGAGATTCAACCTCTATTGCCATACCATCAACTGACATTAGCCTCTGATGTCATGGGCCAAGGTAGTAAAATAGGAGATACTACTTTTGGAGCAGCCTTTCTATATATGTTGAATGTAAAAAATGGAAAATTATGAAAGATAATTTTAAGTGGCTAAAGGGCTGTAAAAACTGTGAACTCTCAATGCATTAAATATGATTATTATGTTTTACAGACAGTACTACATTCTATTTATGTATTTATTTGTTTTCTGCGAGATATAAAGGAAAAAGATTATTTCTGCTTTCATGAAATAATTTAAAAGAGAGCAAAGTGATAGGGAGAAATCTTTGTTCATTGATTATGCAGTACAGAGCATTTAACAGCTGCTAACAAATGCATCATCTTTTTTTTTATTATTTTATTTAAAGGAAATGAAATTACATACATTAAAAAATGATGCAAAATGCAGATAAATTTGCAAAATAATACAGTTAGTTAGTAAAAATAAATTTCCTAGAGAATCCTTTAAAAGAACCAAAAATTTTACTCAGCATTGTAGTGCATTCCATATAAGAGTGAAGTAATTTTAGATATAGGTTTAGATATAGGGAAAAAATAGCAGAAACAATTTAGAGAAAATATCTGCAAAATCTAAAATTTCAGAATTATTATAGAAAGGTCTTGGTTTGCATTGGCCTTGGAGCACTTTTTTTTTGTTTGTTTATTTCTGTTGGATTTCTATGCATAATAAAACCTAACCAATCTTTACCTTTTATTATCTATTGCCCATTCCCTGTTAAATCTTGATAATTTGAAACCTTCTTTTCTAGTATTTTTGCTCTATATATCCCATTTAAAATATTGTGATTTGATTTGTTTGAAATGCAGCAGCTGTTTGAAGCTGTGGAAGCTCTAGAAAACAAGATCCAAAATCTTAGTGGAGGTGAACTAATGGTTGGAATGAGGTGTCTACGTTGTCCTTTATATGTATGAAATTTATAACTACATTTTTCATTAAGCAATTGTCCTGTATTTGTTGTGCCTGCAGGCATGAGTGCCAATTTCATCTTATTCGAGTGAAGCAAAATCAGAACTTTTCCTAGTTCTGTCAGTGTATTACAGTGTTAGGGCTGGGAATGTATTTTCATCTTGCTTTTCATTATGACTACTTCAGCTTGTATTGTACGCTAAGATCAGCATGAAGTTTGCTTATCCTTGGAGATCCCCTACAAATTTTATCTTTAAAGCATGCATGTTATATTCTTTTCCTCAAAAATCACTCTGTATCCTTCTCTAACTGTACTTCATTCTTTCTTGCTTTTGTTATTTCTTTTCTAAAAGTCTTACCATTCTTAGATTTAAGGAAGGAAGGAAGGAAGTATTTATACAGAATTAGAAAATTTTTTAAGAACTGTATTAAAAATTCACAGATCTAAGTAAATTTTGAGTAACGTATCATTTTCTTATCATAAGTAACTAAATAGGTTAGATTTAAAACCAGACAAGCCCATAAAGTAAACCAAAGCAAAACAAAACACAATGAAACAAAAGTAAAATTCAAATTGAATTGATTCTTCTTTTTTAAAATTTATATTTATTATCATTATTGTTGTTGTATTTATTTTATTTATTAGACTAGATATTAGGAAGAAATTATTTACTGTGAAGGTGGTGAGACACTGGAACAGGTTGCCCAGATTGGCAGTGGATGTCCCCCACTTGTAAGCATTCAAGGCCAGGCTGGATGGGGCTTTGAGCAACCTGTTCTAGAGGGTTGTGTCCTTGCCTATAGCAGGGCGTTTGGAACTAGGTGATCTTAAAGGTCCTTTCCTTCAAGATTTTTCCCTTAAGACCCAAACCAATCTATGATTCTATGATTCTATGAATGATCTCACTCCAATTCAACTGATCATTGTGATGTAAGACAATTTTGAGTATATTTAAACCATATTGTATTCACGTCTTTTTATAAATGTGAACAAATTTATTTACATTATTGGATACTCACAAAAGTAATGATTCTTTTATGTCAGGTTTATGCAGTGCAGCTGTCCATGAATCTAGTGGTTATTCATAGACATCATGAGATTACAGGGGGGTTATTTTCTAATATGGAAAGATTATGACCCGTTAGAATTTGTCCTATCATCAGGTCAAGAAGTTTGTTCAGCTTTTGTAAAGACCTGTTGTGGATGTCTTTGCAAATGTGTAAAAATAATTCTGACATATACACATACGCATACATATTTACAGGTTTTGTTGTTTTTTTTTTTTAATATTTTATTTTATTTTATTTTATTTTATTTTATTTTATTTTATTTTATTTTATTTTTTAATTTAAAATCCAACTGGAATTTAAGGCATTTTGTATGTACTGAATTCCTCAAATCAAATTTGAAACCGATATGTCCACTCTGTTGATCAAAATGCTTAATAGCAGTGTGTGGCTGATCAAAACCCAGAGATACTAAAAGGATTTATGGGGTCATGATTGATTGGAGAGTACCGAAAAAATCCAAAAAGAAGTGAAGGTAATTTGCATCATAGCTGTCATTCTTGAGAACAAAAGAAAAGAAAACAAAACAAAAACAACCAACCTTCACAAAATCCTCACTTAAAGCACATTTCTGGAATTTTCCTGCTTCCTGAAATTGAGTTAAGGTCATGTATACAATTTCAAAACGGTGAGTAGTGGTCCAAACATATTCTGTTACTTCAAAAATGCAGTCAAACTAAGGTTTTTAAAGCTTTGTAGGATGGGAAGTATTAAAATTTATGTTCTAGAAATGTAGTGAATTAATATATATATATATTTAACTGCATTCTTTGAAAGAAATAAGAATATAAAAATCCTACAATCATTATCATTTCAAATAGTATGTCATGATTTGTCATTCTTCCAAATCGTATGTATTGAGCAAATCCATTTTCAGTTATTGCACCAAAACAAAAATGGTAAAGCTGATTACATGATCCATACTCATGTCTAATAAAATTGCAATATGCGCTTTTTGACAAGCTTATATTTAATTCATTCTGATGGAAAATTCTAGTTCTCTGTTCTCAGCAGGAAAAGTAGGCTTTTTAAGAAAACCTTTTTATTTCGTGACTGTCATACAACATAACAATTACAAAAGAAATGGAGGTGACAAGAATGAAAAGCCAGCTTGCTGATTCTTGTGAAGTGTTTGTATTTCCAGAAAGACAGTCATTGCTCAGTTATTTGATTTGAAAAATTAATCCTGATAATGCCTTTTGAGTTCTTTAAGTACCGCTCACTATTTTCTAGGATGAGTTTTACAGAACAAAGCCTAACAGATTTCTACAGCAGATTAGTTTACAGCTGAAGCTCAGTTCCTCTGAGAATGATTCTCTAATGACCCCTTTTTACTTCCACTGGGCTGTGTGAATGCTTTAATACATAGAGAATAGCATTAAATAAATCTAATGTCTCAACTAGTAGATCTATGCCATCCTTCTGAAATATTTTAATTATAGCTTTTCTTTTTCTCCCTAGTTAAGACACCAGATGTCAAGTAAGTCCATCACAAGTTGATCATAGATACTTCATTAAAGAAATCCACTTATAACTAGAGTTTTTCTCTTTCTCCTTTGTTTTACAGAACAAGAAGAATGTGTTAACTGCACAGATGAATGCAGAGTGCTTGGTCATTCTGACAGATGTTGGATGCCACAGTTCCCTGCAGCCAGCCAGGCTGAGAATGCAGATTATCGCACAAATCTCTTTGTACCCACAGTTGAAGCTAATGTTGAGACTGAGACTTACGAAACTGTGAACCCCACTGGGAAAAAGACTTTTTGTACATTTGGGAAAGACAAGAGAGAGCACACTATTCTCATTGCCAATGTTAAACCTTATTTAAAAGCCAAACGTGCCCTGAGTCCTCTGCTTCAGGAGGTTCCCTCAGCATCGAGCAGCCCAACCAAGACATGCATTGAGCCTTGCACCTCAACAAAAGGACCTCTGGATGGTTGTGAAGTGAAATCAGGAGCCTTGGCTGAACCAAACAGCCAGTACTTGTCAACTGACAGTCAGTATCTATCGCCTAGTAAACAGTCAAAAGACGCTCCCTTCATTACATCAGATCAGATGGCTAGGGCCTTTGCAGATGTGCATTCCCGAGTGAGCCGAGACTCGAGTGAGATGGACTCTGTTCTGGAACAGTTAGACCGTTCAGCCCGGGATCTAGGCAGGGAGTCGGTGGATGCCGAGGAAGTTGTGAGAGAAATAGACAAGCTCTTGCAGGACTGTCGGGGAAATGACCCTGTGGCCATCAGAAAGTGAGGGGGAAAATAAGGACAGGCTGGCAGTTACATTCCTCTTCTGCTGATTAAAACTAATTAAAAAAAAAAATAAAATCCCCTGGTTGTAACAGATTTACAGGAATGAAGGAAGACCAATGCTGCTTTAAGGCTTTTAGTGAACATCTGAAGTGCCCACAAGTATGTTCTTTTCACTGCTCTTTCTTTTTGACAGATAACACTGGTTTCATTTTGACCAAACTTTCATTAGGACAGAGTCAAGTACACAAAGAACTATATGAATAAAGGAAAGACGGTGCCATTTTGACAATCTGATAGGAAGGTGTGAGAAAGGTGGAATGGAAATACGTCTGATACTTTAAGACTGTCCTCAATAGCTGATGCTGACTTTACTGTTTACGTATAAACCCCAAGAAAAACAGGGTTGAATATTTCTATTCTGTGGTGGATTGCCAGCAGTCACCACAGGCTTCTACAGAAAGTCTTAAAAGAGTTCTTGTAGTAGTCCAAGTGACACCAAACATTAACATTCATTTGTGGTAAACATTTATGTACAAAGTTATCTGCCACAAATAAGAGAGGAAATAAAAAAAAAAAAAAAAAAAAAAAAAAGAACAAGAAAACAAAAACAACACCATTCCAGATCATTTTTCAACCAGACATATCCTGATCATCAGTAAAACACTTCATATCATATTAAGATTAAATGTAAAATGATATAGTCCATCTTGTCCTGCACACACATCAGCTAATTCACTTGAAGAAGAAGAAAAAAAATAGTATCTATTTAGCATTTTAGTGTCCAACAAAACTATAAATAGTTAGTAGTAAGTTAAAAAGAAAAAAAGAGGAGAAAAATATCTTTTAAAAAGTTACCTTTCAGGCTAATACACAAAATAAATTAATGTTCTTAACACTTTTTAATTAATTTGTGGACACTAAAATAGCTCAGGAAAGTGAAAATGTCTTAGACATCCACACAAATCACACGATCATATAAATGTGCAAATGTAAGAAGATTCAGTGTGTTTACATCAAATGACATATTTTTATTGATTTATTGCAGATTCAGTGCATATGAGCCAAATTGTTGAGTGTATAAGAGCTATATTGTGTATTTTATTAAATTAATATATAGTTGTGTTGCAAAAATATTTGGGCTTATATTGTAAATGGCAAGTGTTGCCTCGGTAGCTGTCAAACTCTATGAGTTTTGTTTTTTTCTGCTTCCTTTTCCCCATGGATTTTGGGAAGCAGTGGCTCAGAGCAAAGTCTCTTGTTTAATGTATGGTCTACGAAGTACTGCAGTACATAATCTGTTCAAAATGTGTTTGAGTGGAGCTAACTGAATGGCCTACAAATATATCCATCAGTCATGGTTTTGTGCAAGTCCTTGTAGAAGCTTCTATTGCAAACTCATGTTTATTAACAAAAATTACTCTTGAACCAACACCTGGAACCTTCTTATTTATTTTGATTTGTTTTATTTTGTTTTCCCCAAATATGTGTAGCCAGCCTGTTTAGTGCAGGATATTTGATTGACTTCTTAAGAAATGTCACCCTTTTCAAAGTTTTGATATTTAGCTGAGAGATCTGAAACGTATGTCAGTGCCAAAACTTGTCAAGGCATAGCAGTATTTTCTCCGTTTCTTTAGACTGTGCAATTGCATCCTGCAGTTCTAATTATATACTGTATATTTTGGGGGATTGTTTCTGGTTTTGTTTTCATTTGTTCTGAAAAATATTTGCAGAATAATTTGGGAGAGCTTCAACTTTTTTATTGTGTTTTCTAAGGGTATTTCTATTGCATTTGAAAAATTCAAAATTGCCTTCAGATGAAAGTTTAAAAAAATCGACCACATTCAGAATGTGCTTCAGATACTGTATTGGACATAAAACTACAGCACATTGTTTGAAAACAGCACCTGGTTAAATTAAACAAAAGCTCTACTATAAAAACATATATAAAAGATTTTATTTAATTTTGTTTCACAACCTCAAATATCACAAAGCCATACTTTTCATCAATTCAAGGAATAATATTCATCCAACTTTCTTTTTTGTGTTGGTATTACCATTAAAGGGTGATTTCACTTAGTCAGTCCTACAATTAATTGTCTTTGGTTGTTGGAAACACCCATTCCAGTTTGCTCGTAGCTCCTGCTGTTAAAAAAAGTCTATGAATACATGTAAGCAAATGATCTTGTACATGTTTTATCAAGCTACTCTCCATGTTTTGGACAATTTATGTAACTAAAATGTGGTGTTGTCTGTGTTATATATATTTCTTTCTTTTTGGCCAGAAGACCCAAGATTGATTTTGCTTGATAGCTTGATAGCTTAAAATTCCATAGTGGAGAGGATTTCTTATTGTTTGAACAGTCTTTTATACGTATTTCTGTGGTGCTCATCACTTCAGTGTCTGCGCACCAAGTCTTTAGCTCTGCCAGTGAGATCCATTATTCAGCAAAATCTAAGCCAGTATGTAAATGCAGTCAAGTGATGGAGATTTGTGTATTTTATAAATGATTTTAACACTGAGTAACCGATTGTACAATTCATTGTATATGTCTGAAGACATAAAACCACAATATTCTGAGAAAGGGCTGTGCCAATGTAAGAGGAATTTACCTTAAGGCTCTCTGTCACTAGTGATTTACTAGCTTTAGTTGTTTAACACATTATCTGTATTTAGTAGTGATTATTTATTTACCACTGAGGTAATTCAGAATTCATGACTCACAGCTTCATGGAAGAGTTTAGGAAATCTTACTTTTATTTAATTTGGCCGACAACTGCCTTGTGTTGTAGATTTTTAGCATACTGCTTCCAGTAAGCATATCCCTGGTTAAAAAATCTGTTTCATAATTTAGAATTGATACATAATGTATCAACAAACAAGCAGAGCATATACAATGTGAGTTTTGCTGTTTGAGTCAAAATGAATATGATTATGTGTGAAGGAAGTGTCATCCGAAGTACCACAAACAAAAGAATTAGAATATTTTTTCTCTCTTTGGTATCTTTGCAATCACCACTGGAGAAAGAGACAGCAATGGAAGATGAAGCTGATTTTTTTCTCTCATTCCTTATGTATATGTCTTATAAAACTGAAATAAAATATCTGTCACATGACTATAGAGAGAATGATTGAGCTAAGGGAAAGCAAGTTAAAAAACTAATAAAACTGTACTGTACACTGTGAATAGAACATAAGGCATTCTGTTTTATTTTGTTTCTTATTTTTATTTTTTAGATTAATGAAATCGAACAACTGAAAGTTCCTTAAAAGACTGGTCAATCAAATCAGGACTCTAAATCAGATCTTTTCTTTCCTCCTCTTCTTTCCTGGCATACTTATCAGGAAAGAGAGTCTTCTTAACTATGATTTGCCACTTGAGGTATTAGGCTTTGAAGTACAAGCCGTATTCAGAAGTCAAAAATTACTCACATGGAGCAGGGTATATCATTCAAACAAACTTTCAACTCCTTGTTGCCTAAGGAAAGGGAAATTGCTTAGGTCAAAAAGGAGTCTGAAACCAAGCATAATGTGCACCCATTCATTATTATTTAATTACTTTATTTTGAGATTAGGCGGTGATTATTGTTCCATTAATTGAAGTGGGAGTTTTGGCTATCAAGATTTATTGAAGTGTAGCTGAGTGAAACTTGATTAAGATTTTGACTTCTCTGGCCCAGTAGTGCTACAGGTTGGCATTTGCATCAATCAGTCCCTGTCTCCCCATATGGCTCAAAGTTGCACCAATGACTAGTGAATGACACATACACACTAAAAATAAACAGAAACAAGCAAACAAACAAACAAGTAAAAGCAAACAAACAAAAAAATCCACAAACAAAAGCAGCATACATTGTATTAATTATTTCAACCGCTATTGTTCAATGGCTGTGTTTAGTGTGACCTATCTGGAAAATGAGGACTACGAATAAAAAGTAATTACTAATAGTTGTGTTTCCTGCTTTTGCATTCATTAACACAGAAAAAAATGTGTTAAACACTGGATACCACAGGGAGCCTGATGGTAATTACTTTGGAAAAGCAACTTGTGGCATTGCGGCTGTTACAGCTAGTTATCAGTTTGCCAAAAAAATGACAGTTCCTGCTTCGTTTATTAGAAATGTGTAACTGTTTTCTCTCAACAGGAAGCTGGTGAAGCGTTTTCATCAAGCTGGGTAGGTTTATCTTTTAAGCAGCTGATGTGCTGAATCCCTACAGGCTGTTATTTGCTCATAGGTATATGGAGCTGTGTAAAGGATAGTTTGGTTCAGTACACTGGTTTGAGTTCACCAAAAGCATTATAAAATAAGGATAGAAGTTTTCAAAGGCTATCAGCCTACCAAGAAAGTTAAAAGTACTTCCTGAATATACAAATATACAAGCAGATAGAATAATCTAAAGAATGTAAGCTTGTTTTACTTTTTTTTTTTTTTTTTAAATATATCTTTCTTATGGGCCTGTAATAGAGAAAAGTAATTTATTTCATTTTGCTATAAACAACATGAAAAATGCTGAGAAAATACAACTAAGTCCTACGTCCAGCTGATTGAAGTTATAATTTAACACGTTGGTTAATCTTTTTTATTTTTATTTTTTGAAAAAAAAAGAGAAATGCTGTGTTTGAACCTTGTTAATTCCTCAGATAGCGTGGCTCTTTTTTTTTGCTCCTGTGTAATGTAACAGTGATATCCCAAATAATGTAAAGCATCTACACTTGAATACCATTTTTTTTATTTTGTTATTAATAACTAAGTATGTAGGCATTCCTTTTCATATCTAAATAATATTTTAGATTGTTCAGAATACAACAGGTTTTATGAAGATATGTGCTAGTCCTGCACGTAAGATTACCTTCTAGCCATTGCATGTTTTCTGCAAGCCCCTTGCCCCAAACAAAACCAGCCTGCATCTAATTAGCTGGCTACCCAACCACACAAAACCCCTATTATTTCCTTCCTTTTTTTTTTTTCCTGCTACATATATTTGTCATTCTACAGGCTGAA